TCTCCCTGGGCTCTGTCACCTCCACCTCTCCTTCTTCGGCCCCACCTCTGCTGCTCCCTCCACACTGAGCTGGGGCCAGCACCATGTCATCATCTAAGGTCTCTCCCCAGGGCTGCACCTCTGCACTGTCCTCCAGCATCCCAGGGCCAGCAGCCACTGTCACCTTGGGAAGGACACTGTCCTCCTGTGCTGCTCCCATTTGTGTCTCACCCCGGGATGGTGGCTCTGGCTCCAGGTTCTCTCCAGGCTTTATTTCAAGTTTCTTGGAGAGCTCTGGTTGTGGGTCAGCCTCTTGCCCCAGACCTGCACCCAAGGACTCTTCTGGAGCCACAGCCAGGCCAAGCTCACCTGTGCTAAGCTGCTGTCCCACTGCCAGACCTGCCTCCCCAGCCTCATGTGGCCCCAGACCTGCCTCCAGATTTTCTCCCTGGCTTAATGCCTCTTTCTCAGCTTCTCCTGGGGGTTGTGCTGCTTTTTCCCAACCTGTTTCTTCCTGCATCCATCCTTCTCCCTCCACCTCCATCAGCACTTGCTCTCCTGTCTCCATGCTCTCTCCTGGTGCTCCTTGCAGATGCTCAGCCACTTTTAGCATCAGCTCCTTCACACCAGCACCCTTTCCCTGCGGGAATAACATCCTCTGTGCCTCCTCCACGCTCTCTCCCTGCTCTGCCCCCAGCTCCTGAGCCCAGCAGTGCTCAGCTCCCATGGACGCACCAGCCTGTGTCACATCTGGAGCACGAAGCTCAGCTGCAGCTGGTCCCTCTTTCAGGTCTCCTTCGAACAGCTCATGACTGACATGCCCAGCGAGGGTCTCTTGCAGGACCCCAGGGGCTGAGCCATGGGTTGTAGTTGCCTCCATCCCTTTTTGGGGCTCAGCGCCATCCCTGGGGTGACAGGCAGTGTCTGCTGGTGTGGAGGGTGCACCCGGTGCCTGCGGCTTCAGCTGTGTGCTCAGAGCTGCTATTGCATCATTCATCTCTCTTAGCAAAGAGCTTCGGTCAGAAAAGTGTTCCTCTTTCAGAAGTTCTGGGAAGGTGTCCTCTTCTGTGGAGCTCAGTCTTGGTGGGGCTCCCAAAACACTTATTTCTGCTGGTGGCACTTCCCAAACCCTGGAAAGGGCAGAAAATAGGGTGGGGTTCAGCCCCTGGGTCAGGCTGCAGCTCCCTCCCATCCACCTGGACCAGTACCAGGAGGGTGTCCCCTCCATCACCTCACCCCATCCCTCTCCAAACCAGATTGTATTTACCCTCGGGGTGCACTGGAGGTTCACACAAGCAGTGACCAGGGACAGGGAGAAGGGGACGTGCACCCAGGGAGCCAGACCTGGGGCTGTATCCTGCCCAGGCAGCAAGTGTGCCGCTTCCCAGGCTCCGTGTTGACATTATCAGAGATGAAAGGAGAACTCTTGGCCAGGTACCCCGAGTGCCTGAGCCAAGGGAGGGATCTGGGGTGCTGAGCTGGGGTGATAGATCTGATTTCCAGGATGAGAGATGAGTGGGTGGGAAAGGAGCATTGAAAGGAATAAATATTGTGTTTTGCCTGGGGAGGGTGGAGGATTTGGGTGCTCAGCACCAGCTTGCAGAGCTCAGGGGCACAAGCTGGAGCAGAAGCTGTTGCCCAGGTCCCCTTACACTTGGTGGGTGCTCTTGGCTTTGGGTTTGCTGCTCTGGGACCCCAGTCTGATCCGTGTCTCAGAGTGGTACTTCTCGCTCTTCTCCAGATTCATCTGCAGTGAAAAGGGTGGGAAGAGGAGAGAGAAAAGCGGTTGGTGAGGGAGTGTATCCACCTGAAACAATGCTGAGCTCTCCAGCAGGTACCCACCCAAAATCTTGGGGGTACCAGGACTAAGATGCTGCTACCCCCTCCCTTCCCAAGCGTCTGGATGGCACCAGTTTGAGAAAGCTTTTCAGGGAGGCACTGCCTCTGCTTGGGCTCCCCAAACTGAACAGCACAAGTCCTTGGAGCATGGACATCCCTGTCCCATCCCCCCGTACCCAGCTGAAGTACCTGTGGGGACATTGGTGTCTTGTCAGGTGGCTCTGCCACTGCTCTGTCCCTGCAAACACAGAGCACAGGGGTCAAAATGGCAATTGCATCTTCTTCACTGCGTCCATCCCTGCTGCAGGGTTGTCCCCAGGACAGGACAGCAAAACCCACAACCCTTGGATCAGTCCTGGTTGGGTCCTTCTGGTGAAGGACATCCCCATCTCTGCTGGCACTGCCCTACAGAGACACGTTCAGTGCACGGCGCTGACAGCCCTGGCTTTCTTTTCTGCTGCTTTTCAGAGCACTGAAGCTTCACGATGGCTGAGACCCATCAAACTCGTTCCCCATCCACTGCAACCCCCGGGAGGAAACCATGAAGGTGCTAGTCACTCAACTACTCACCCAGACTCCTCCTCATGCACCTGAGCCACCGCAGCCCTTGCTGTCTGCAGGCGCTTGTGGGTCTGCTGGAGCTGCTGGTGAAGGTGCTGCAGATGCTCCTCCAGCTGCTGGTTTTCGGTGCTGGCAGCTTGCTGCGTGCTGCGGAGGTTGTGGCACCGCATCTCCAGCTGTGGGATGGCAACCAGGACACTCACACCCTGCCAGGACCCCCATGAGACCCATGCCAAAGAATAATGGATAATCATCTCCTCTAGACCTGGGGGTGGATTTTTCCCCTTGAGTAGGAAACTCAGCTCAGGTGCTCTGGGGATTGAGGGGAGTGTGGGGATGGAGGTGGCAAAGGAGAGGGGATGGAGGTGGCAAAGGAGAGGGGATGGAGGTGGCAAAGGAGAGGGGATGGAGGTGGCAAAGGAGAGGGGATGGAGGTGGCAAAGGAGAGGGGATGGAGGTGGCAAAGGAGAGGGGATGGAGGTGGCAAAGGAGAGGGGATGGAGGTGGCAAAGGAGAGGGGATGGAGGTGGCAAAGGAGAGGGGATGGAGGTGGCAAAGGAGAGGGGATGGAGGTGGCAAAGGAGAGGGGATGGAGGTGGCAAAGGAGAGGGGATGGAGGTGGCAAAGGAGAGGGGATGGAGGTGGCAAAGGAGAGGGGATGGAGGTGGCAAAGGAGAGGGGATGGAGGTCCTACATGACAACTGGCATCTAGAACTGGTAGGGACAGACTGAGACCAGGTGGACAACACTGTGTTGCTGCTACAGGCACAGCCCAGAGACCCCATAGGCACGATGAAGGACCGGGGCTTGGGGCCAACTCACCTCCATCTGCGCTGTGACCAAGCGCTGCACCTCCTTCTCGCTGGCATCCAGTGCCTGCTGCAGCTCCACGCCGTGCTGGTGGCTCCGGGCCGCGCTCTGGGGTGACAACAAGGACATTAGCACCCACTCACCCATCTGGAAGTTGCCACAGGGGTTTAGAGGTGCTGGGTCCCCTCCCAGGGTGGATGGCCAGGGTAGAGGAGCAACTGGTGACCCACCTCCTGCTCCAGCCGCTGCTGCTCCTGATGGATCTGCTGCTCCAGGGCCTCACAGAGCTGCTGCACCTCCTTGTTGTGCTCAGCCACACGCCTGCCAGGGACAGCAAGGTCAGAAGGGTGGTCAGACCCTGCTGCAGTGGGTGCAGGTCCCTGGGACCCCACTTTGCCCATGGGACCTGCAGGCTGCAGCTGGGTTTGCCTGGAGAGGTTCATCCAGCAAGGACATGTCCAGCACTTTTGCCATCCTGTGTGTGACTGTAGAGGGAGCCCGACCCCAAACATCAGCTCCCGGTGAAACCTCTGCTCCAGCCACTGATGGAGATGCTGAAAGCACCCAGGTTTCTCCCTCCTTGGGTATATCTCCACAGATGGGGTGAACAGGGAGCCCCACCCCTGTTCCCCATCCTTCAGGTCCCTCTCCACTGCCCTGGGGTGACTCACTTCTTCAGGGTCACCTCCAAAGCCTCCTTCTTGTTCCTGGCTTCTTGGATGCGGTGCTTCATCTTGGCCAAAAAGTCCTCCAGGTTGCCTAGAAGTTGGGGTTCATCCTGACGGAGCTTCACCCAGAGCTGCCAGATCTCCTGTCTGCAGGGAGAGGGGTGTTTTGTGGTGAGCATCCCCCCAGAATCCCCCAAGGCCAGGTCAGCTCTGGGGTCTCAGCTCATTCAGAACACACGGCCCTGGGGGACAGATGAACACTGAGGTGACTGTGATCCTGTCTCCTGCTCCTGCACTTGGGGCAAAGGCACCTCCAAGAAATTTCTGGGCTTGCTGTCTGTATGGGGACCAAACACAGGGAATATCACCCTGCCCTGAGCCTTTCCCCCTTGGGCAGCTCTGCCCCATCCTGCAGGACACCCATGGGTGCTGAACATGGCACTTACTCTTCAGAGACGTTGGCTGTGCCCAGCTGGTCCATGAAGGCAGCAAAGTGTCTCCGCTCCTCGCTGTCCGCTCCCTCCAGTGCCAGGCTGGGGAGGACCAAGCGGACCCTCCGGGATGCTGTTTTCCGCCGGTGATGGGACCTGGCAGCTTTTTGGGAGCTCAGGAACTGCCCTGCCAAGACACACCCCAAACCCTCAGTGCCCAGCTGGGGTGACAGAATAGCCCAGACCCCGACATTTCCCACTCCATGGCTTTGACAACCCACTTCGGCACAACAGGACCCCTCACCAGGTGAGCCATGGGCTGAGACCTGGCCATGGGGACAATTTTTGGGCCATCATGTGCCACCCAGCAAGGGGAGTGTTTTAGTTCCCCCCTGGGAAAGCAGTGGGGCCACATCTGAGGTTGGGATGCTCGGAGGTGACATGTCAGCACTTACGGAGCCCAGCAGTGAACTCATCGGTGCTTAACCGCCCGGTACCGGCAGCATCCAGCCCATCGAAGACGAGCTCCAGCTCCTCCGTGCTGCACGGAAAATCCTCCACCTGCAATTTCTAAGGACAAAGCGAATCAGGAGGAAAAACCGCCCCATCATCCAGTCTCCAACCACTCTGGTGGCATTTGACCCAAGAAGACATCCCTATCCCTTACCTGCATGTCTGAGCGGGTGACAAACCCCACCTGCTCCTTGTCCTGCTCCCTGAAGAATTCCTGCAGCCTCTGCACTATTTGGGATTCCCAGGGCAGCTCTTTGCTGGGACCAGGAGCTGCTGCTGGTGCCTCACCAGAGCCCTCGTGCAGCTGCTTGCGCCGGCTGGAGCCCAAGCGCCGGCTCTTGGTGGCTGCCCGGCGCTCGGTCATGGCTCCTGGCTTGGTCCTGTCAAGGGGAAAGCGATGGGTGCTGAGCCATGGCCAGTTCTCTCCTTACTGGAGACCTTTGCCGTGGTGCAGTGGGAGATGGTGGAGCAGGACCATGCTGGAAATTCATTTTGGTTGGCGTAAATGGCCCCTTGGGTTTGGCAAGAGGAAGAGAGGAGCTTATCTCTGATTGCGTGGTGCAAATGGAGCCTCGACCCACGGCCAGCACTGGCCACAAGCCCAGCACCCTCTGGGTGAGCGGATCCTCCTGCCACCAGCCAAGCACCCATCCCAAATCTCCCCACGCTGCGGAGGATGCACAGCAGAGCACCAAGGCCACCTGGGAGGTGACACAGCCAGGAGGTGACACCACCAAAGCACCAGCCAAGGCGATGCTGGAGATCTGGGCAAAAAATGTGGTGGTTCCACCTGCTTTTTTAGAGCTGAGCAGCAGCTTTGAAAATTCCTCCCCCAGTTTTCACAGCCCTGAGTCACCCCCGGTGAGAGCTGCATGAGACCTCGGGGAGGTTTCCATCACGCCTGCGTGTTCACCCTGGTTTGGGGTGGGGGGGGAGTCTGAGGCAGGACCCCTTCGCACCCCTGTCCCCATGCTGGGTGGGTGGCAGTTTCACCAACAGCCACCACACCATCCCCATAAGGGGTTGTTCTCTACATGGCAAAGCCAAAGAACCGAGGGAAGGGGACATCAGCCACAGGGAGAGGTGACACAGAGCTGGGGCCACACTTGAGCTGCTGCAGCCCGGCTTTCCGCTCCCAACCCACGGACACCCCCGGCTGCTCCAGCCCTCTGCCCCTTTCCTTTGGGAATGGGAAATGGTGATTCTCCTAAATCCCAGAGTGCACCAGAAAAGCAGGAATATCCCCCCGAAAACATCCCCTTCTCCCTAAAGGAAAAGGGTTTTGGGGAGTTACTGGAGTCCCATAGGACACCGGTGGGGGGACAAGGGACAGAAACCAGTTGCCTTTATGGTGGCCCCAGCATCTAAGGCAGCAGAAGTGGGTGATCTGGGGGGGAGGTGGGTTGTTTAAGGCATGGGGAATCATAGAATCCCACACTGGTTTGGGTGGGATGGGACCTTCAAGCTCATCCAGTCCCAACCCCCCTGCCAGCAGCAGGGACACCTTCCACTAGACCACGTTGCTCAAAGCCTCATCCAACCTGGCCTTCAACACTTCCAGGGAGGAGCAGCCACAGCTTCTCTGGCCAACCTGGGACACTGTCTCACCACCCTCACACCAAAGAATTTCTTCCCAATATCTAAAACCCCCAGTTACCTGCCACAGCCCCAGGGATGAGCTGAGCCCACCACACAAAGGACGTGCAGAACAAAGTGGGGGGCCAGGATAGGAACCACACCCCCCAACCCCAGCTGAGCAGGGTCCCCCTATGGCATCACCAACTCCAGGTGACCTGAGTCTCCTCCAAAACACCCCACACTGCTCCCAGCCATCAGAAAATATCCCCTGGCCTCATTACCCCCACGGGCAGCAAGAAAAAGCCCCCTCCAGCTCACCAACAGCATGAAACCCCCCTATTTTCTTTGCTTTTCTATTTTTTAAGGTGATGCACGAGCTATCCCCAGAGCAGCAAAGCTTACCTTCCCCAGCTGCCCAGAGGGACCCTCAGTTTTGGGGTCCCCAGGCTGGGATGGATGCTGGTCCCACACCGACGGTGTCTGACCTGCCCCGTGCCCGAGCTTTCATTTTCTCTCTTACTCAAGGCAGCTTTCCGTTTTCGGGTTACACTCAACTGCCGGTGCTCACACGTTTCCTGTTTGCTGCCTTACAAGTGGGGTGTGGGAAGAGCCCATCCAGGTCACTGTCCCCCCCCAAAACCTCCCCCCCCAGATCCCAAAGCAAAGGAACCACCTGTGTCCTCAGGAACCATAGCAGAAGATCCCATCCTTTCCTTGTTTGCAATGGTCCAACCAAGGCTGGAAGGTGTTTGGGGCAGGGGAAAAAACATCAAAGAAACAGCAAATGTTATTTGAAGAGTCTAAACAACCCAAACTCCAAGACTTTATATAACCCACAGGTTGTCATCTAATAAAGATAACTAAACTTGCAAACCCACCTTGCAGATGCTCCTCAGCACCAGGATTTGGAGACCCCTCCTGCTGTGCTGCTCACACTAGTGGGTTTTTTTGGTTTTTGGGTTGTTTTTTTTCCCAAGGCTCCTGCTTGAATCATTAATTCAGCTTTAAAACCAGCACCAAAGCCACCAGCAGCCCCTGGTCTGCACCTGCACCAGTTTGCAATGAGGAATCTGATGGGGTCCCTGCGTTTTTGCTCCACTTTAACTGCAAAATCATGAGATCCCAAGCAAAGGGGGGGAACACTAATTATTATTTTTAGGTTATAACTAAAATTAACATCTATTAGCTCACCCAGATCTGAGCCCAGGGCAGGAGCTGAGGGGTAGAGGCTGGTGCTTTGCCTCCCCCCATCTAAACTGGTTAAATCACTTGCTGGGAACCAGCTGTGCAGGTGCTCTGCCCCATCCCACCCACCCCTGCTCGTTTGCCCTCAAACCTAATGAAGCAGCACCCAGCTCAGGTGCAATCACTCCCTCTGGACATCCAATTCAAGGCTCAGCTGTTTCTTCTCCCATCTCTGAGCAAAGCTGGTGCCTGTTACTCCAGCTTGAAGCAAGCCCATGGCCAGGCTGAGGTGCTCAGCTTGCAAAAACCACCTCTGAGCTCATATTTGTCACCACATCTTGCAACCCTCAGACCCATTTGCCTCTACACAAAGGTGGCATTTCAGTTTTGCTTTCCTTGGGGATGTTTTTAGGGGAAAACCCCCTAAATATCCTTGGGAAAGCTCAT